CCCTCACTTCTCCTCTAACAGTCACCTGCCCTCAAAAAGACAGAGGGGGTTTTAAGACAAATATCTTTTTTCCCCTTATTTAAAAATCTATGTTTCTTGTTCAATTTAAAAACAGGAGCAAAATTAAACTTTTCTTAATGAAAAAACTACTGATTATATGCACTACAAACATCAACAGGTACTAAAAACATCTTCTAGATTTCATGGCCCAGTTGTCTGATCCAGAATACTAATTTGTATAATGTACAATGTATAAGCAAAGTGAAACTGCACTGTAGAAATCTGAAATGCAATCTCGACAGTTCTTAATTTACCTCTTAGGACCCAAATCAGGGGCTGAGATCTGCACTCCATACTCTTCTTTTGGGTTTAGCAGACTCAAGACATGGAAATTTCACTGAGACAGAATAAACTATTTCTATACATAATATAAAATAATGTGAATTAAATATATCTGATCTTCTTTTCCCTTATATCTAGTACTCCTGGAAAGCTATGTCAAAATTTGCATTCGAGATGCTGACCAGTAACGTACATTTTAACTTACTGTGGCAAATAGAACTTTGTGCCATATGGCTGATTAGAGATATTCTCTCTCTTTTTCTTCTCCTCTAAACAGCTGGGTGAGTAACAACAAGCAAAAGACAGTCAGCAGCTGCACACTGTTATCATTACTTTGATACTGCTTGAAGGAATCTAAGCCTTCCACAGGTATGCACCTGAGATTAGAGGCAAAGAATTTTCCTCTCTAAATATGAGAGGAAGCAGCTATGGGAGTTATAATTATGTTTTACAGGTGTCATCAGAACAATGCTTCCAAATTTTACCCAGAACAAACATACTCTTTTTCTATTTTGTGATTGAATTTTTCAAAGACCTTCAGGGAAAAGATATTATTGTACAAAGGCAACAACAGTGAGTAAATAAGTATAAAGGCAAACACTTCTATTGCAGACTTCCCAACTTTATCTATTTCACCCATGCAACTTTAGTAGTTATCCAATAGGATCTGCAAACAGAGCATTAACCGTTCAAGCTCTGTGTTTGATTACTCTGTACCAGGGATTCCCAAGCTGGAATTCCACTGCACCCCCCACAGCTGGCAGAGCCCTTGTTGGTAATCAGAGGAGAATTAATGAGCCACGTGGCTCTGGCTCCTCATAAGTCAAAAGGTATTTGGAAAGGATCATGGCTGAAGGAACTTCACCTAATATTACTTTCTGTGCAACCAGTGTTTTAGTGGCCACAGGAATGCCTGATCTGGAAGAGTATCAACTGCAGCTGGAGCTAAGTGGGAACAGGGAACTTGAAACAACAGGTGGGACATGTTGCATAAGTGAGGAAGACTATGGACACCCCTCTGGGCCACACAGCACAGCTTCACTTCTACCATCCATCTGAAGGGGAGTGTAATTCATGGCTCTGAGGGGTAACACATTTTAAGTCTTCCATTGCTGTTTTATTATAAGTAAAAAACCCCCACAAACTACCATGATCATAAAGATGTTTATGAGACAACTGCAGTCAGGTTAACCCCCTGTCCCTGAGGAAAGCGACCCCACCTGTGGAGGAAAACATAGCAAACACATTTTTTCAATTTTCTCCTACAGGGTTTGGGGTTTGGAGATGATCAGGAGAATTTTTTCGGCATCTTTGGATGTTGGTTCTTCCTTCTACATTAAATAAGTGCATGGGAGGAATATTTCCCAGAACAGTACAATTAAGAGAAAAATACACTATCTGTAAGAAAAGCTAATCTTTTTTTTTTCCTGCATGATATGTTTACACTTACAAAGACTTGAAGCTAATTCTCCTCCAGTCATCATACTAAAACTCACCACCAGAGCTATGTAATCAGTCACATGATTAAGAATTTTGAAAGTTCATAATAAATGATGTGTGAAACAGCACAAATCAAAGTAATACTTGCACAAATTTCACAAGCAACTATATTGTGATCTTTTCTCATGTAACTCATGAATAGGAAAATAAAATCCATTGGGTATATAAGGTTTCCAACTAATCAGGGAATGACAATTACAGCACTAATTGTGGTCTTTGTGAATATTGAAGGTCTTTTTCAATGCATACACATACATTTTCTGGACAGAAACCACCCTTTTATTGTTGAAAGCACCTAGAAATCTCTGGACACTACTCTACCAGCAGCTGTGTTATTTTTCTTTAAGTTTAAATTATTGCACATGGCTATCGTTGCTAGGTAGGACTTGGCTTCCAGCATTGTAACACTGATGGCTGAAGTCTGGGCTGGACTATGAAACAAGCAAAAATTCAGAGGTGAAAATTACCTCTGTGGGGGTGGTTTGCATTTGTTAATGCCTTTTTAAAATTATCTTGGATATCTGCTTGAGCAAGGTATTGCCAGTCTCTGCTCTCCAGGCATCCTAGCACTTGTACTCTTGTTGCTTTCAAGTTCAGTGTCACCAAGATACTTTCAGGCAACAGATCATCTAATGAAGAACAATATGATGTCAGTGTGTAATGACTTCTTGAGAAAAAGAGTGATGTTATTCAGCAATACAAAGAGACAGTCTCACTTTCTTCTCAGATAAACAACTTGGTAATGAAAGATTGTTTAGAGGTAAAGAACAACTGAAGGAAATTTAAAGGGGCATAGCAGCTTGTGTGTTAAAAAACCCAAACACCCACATTTTAAATATTAATAACAGATAGAGCCACTGATTCCATTTCTATTGACAGGAAATTAAAAAATAAACACATAAAAATTCAGATGAGGATTTAAAAAAACATTATCTAGTGACAGACACCAAAGAAAGGAGTATTCCTCAAAACACAACATTTACAGAAAAGCAGTCAAAATCATCACTGTGCTCAGGTTTGGCTCCAAATTGCTGCTATAAACTCACATCTGATGTAACTGATTAAAACAGAGTAGATGGCACTGATATACCATGCAGAACTAGAAGTTTTAAACTACAAATGCTACAAGAGTGTACCTTGATATCTACACAATTCACACCAGTCAAGCAGTATCAGGAAGGCTTGAAGTGTACCTGCCTTACATTTCTTCCTAGTCTAAGTCCACTACACTGCCAAAAAGTACTAAACATCTGTACTGTAAATGCAAATCAGGCCCAAATCCCTAAAAATCTGTGTATTTTTTAGTTCACTAATGCCACCAGCACTCCACGTGTAGCAAAAAGATGATCATTACAAAAAGATGCCATGAGCAATTTTTAAATAGAATCCATTTACATTTACCAGAATCTTATTGCTAGTCTTGGTTTGTTGTTTGGGTTTTTTTTTAATAGTGCTAAATAGTCACTTGGGAAAGCCTGTAATGTACAAGCAGTGCACACACAAGCTTAATTCTTCAGCAACTTCAGACAGGAGTGTAAAATGCAAGCTGGAGTCCAAAGGCAAGGAGGTAGAGCTGTAGTAAATCTGATGCAAAGCCTAATCTGTCTTTTGTCTGTACAGTCTGTGGAATATTTGAAAGGGAACAAATACACCAGCAAACATTGCATGTTACTTGTCTCGAGGGAAGTTCTGAATTTCTGTTCACCGACCCAGACACAGATAATCAAAGGGAAGACCTTATATATCAAAAACTTCAGGGCAGGTCATCTATTTGTCCATCTCTCTCCTCACATATAGGTTGCATTCCAGCTTATCAGCAGGCTATGCTATAAAAGAGTCTAAGAAAATAATAGATGCAATATTTATGCCAGCAAAAACTATTTCTAATGCTAGTTCTGTGCACGCTCTCTTTCAGCACGCAATGGAGTAGATGGACAGCTTTTGTGGTTTCCTATCACTCTGAAGCACAGTGCCTCTTTCCTGGTGCACAATCTTGCAAGTTTTTAGAGAAGTGACATTCCTGTTGTTGGCACTGTCACAGGCCAACAAACCCGGTTAGCTCAGTGCTAACACCTACTGGGCTCCATCACCGGTGTGAGACGGGGTCGCACTGACAAAATACCAACCACAAACCTGGAAGACTCTTAGTTCACACTCTTGCCCTTCTAATTTATACTTCAAAAGATAATATTAACTGGTATTAGAACAGGGAATGACTCTATTCTTACTTCACTATCACTTCTGACACGGTAACAGAAAATGAAATAATAAAATAACTATAAAGCTAGAGACAGCAAAGTAAAATACATAAAAGAAACACCTACACAATAACTATTACATGCTCAACAGCTGTGGCAAATGGTCAAAATTGTACAGTGTTGCTTTAAGACAGTGAAGAGTTGATGAGACTGGTTGACAAAAACATGAGCTGGGCCTCTTGCTTATCTTGCACCTGGCTCGAGCAAGACTTCGGAGGTCTCATGGCCCGATGTTGTTGCAGTGAGGCACAGGAGAACATCAAGCCTCAGCACCAACCAATAGCCACACTCCCTTCACTGTGAGAAACAACACTTGTTATAAATCTGTTTCGTTAAGGAGATAAGGATGTGCACAAAGAGCCTCTGATGAAGGTCAGAGAGCCTTTACTGCCACCTCAGTATGTGGAGGAGGAGGGCCAAAGTGTTTATTCTACCTCTTTTCTCAATTATAAATTCTGACTGAGTAACAGAGACTCTCATTAAGCTCCATTAACATATTAACTTACACATCCCTCAGGATTCAAAAGAAGGAGAACATGGGACCTACAACACATGTATGACCACAGTCACCAAACCCCATCATAACACGAGATTGTTTCATCCCCTTGGAACAGACCAAAACTTATAGTATAAAAGGGGAGCTTCGGGGCAGAACAGGCCAGAAGAGAAAAAAACCTTTGGAGGAGGAAATCACCTCTGGAGAGGGAAACCACCTCTGGAAGGGGAAACCACCTCTGGAAGGGGAATACACCTCTGGAAGGGGAAAACACCTCTGAAGGAGGAAAACACCTCTGGAAGGGGAAAACACCTCTGAAGGAGAAAAACACCTCTGAAGGAGAAAAACACCTCTGAAGGAGGAAAACACCTCTGCCTGCTCGGGATTTGTCAACAGACTGTCTCTCTTTCTCTCCCGAAGGGACGCCTTCAGGTGAGTTTTGTGCCTCCAACTGTGTTGGAGCATACCCGGGAATATTCATCTATATATATATATATAGTGCTATTAGAATCTCTCTCACTGTACTTTCTGCTGCAGCACACATCAACACTCTGTGGCCAGTGCATTTATCACTGGCAATCCCGAACCTGCTTTCCTGTTGCTTCAATAAACCTTCAATACACATTCGTGAATCTGGATCATGCAAAGTCCTTATTGAACAAGATCAGATCTATATTCCTGGATTGGTAACTGCACTGCTTCTGCATCTGTGCTCATGCAAGTTCTTCTTTTGAACTCGACCAGTCCTATAGTGATTATTGACTATAATCAGAAATTAAGCCCAGCCACACCCAGCCCCTCTGATCTCTGAGGACCAGCTGGAATCCAAGGGGGTTTGTTTTCTGCTGAATACCCGTACCCTTAATGCAACAACACTCATCCTTCCACAGTGTAAATGTCAACTGATGTTCATATTATCCCTTAGAGAAGAGTCCACCTGTCCCACAATTTTTTCATGCAGGACCCAGATTAGAAGGATACTCGTTTTCTGGTGGTATTCTAAAAGTAAAAAGCTTATGCCTTCAAGGTTTGAGTACAGTTTCAACCTATTTCGTTTAATCCTCTATCTTCACTATGATTTCACATGTGCAGCTGAGAACCAGTTTTATGCATTTGATTAAATATAATTAAAGATATGACTAAAGAAGTCACTTTCTCAACTAAATATAAGGAAATTACATAAATGAATCAGCTCAAATGTGGTTTTCTTTGTTTCATTTTCATTCAAGAATTTACAGAATTATTTTAAATTGATCTGATGACTCTCACATTGTTTCTATTACACTACCTACTCATCAGTGACTGTTACTGAATAGAACCAAGTGTCTGAAATGGTCACTATTAAAGAGTTTGCCCTACTTAATTTTTTTTAAACTGACCTTTGGTATATTTATTCTCAATACAGTAATCTTAATTTTGTTTTTGGTTTGTCTCCTGTGGACTTTTCTGCAAACACAGCAACAATGAAAACAGTTTTGAAACACTACTTCCTCTGCTTGCCAAAATTTACTCTACAGTTTAAGAAAGTCCTGCTACTTAAAGTCTGGTATTTTCTTTGGCTATGGAATCTTTTGAAATTCTGACTAGAGCTGTGAAAACCCCCATGATGAATAAGCACAGTAGTGCAGTGTGTTGAGGATTTAACTTCAAAAAACTTCCCATGTTTTCTAGGCTCACTAGCCTCATCAAGCTAAATTCAAGTCAGCAGTGCTGTTCAAACATGTCAGGAAGGAAAAAAATACAAAAATGTTTAATCAATCAGAATTCTTTCAACAGAAGGACTGGGAGCTTAATGCCAGTCAAGGGCAGAAAATAGCTAAAAGCCCAGTAAAAAAACAACTGGATCACACACTCACCTACCTTATAATTGTTGTACCTGAACATACAGCTGGACATCCTTCTTCCACTGTAAAAAATTATACTTTGCAAACACCATAAATTGCACATTTTATACTATGAAAAGTTTTAGTTCTGGCCAAATTTGGCTGATAAAAGATCATGTCACATAATTTTGGGGAAAAATAATATAAAACCAGTGCCCTACACACTCTGATTCTCCTTTGCTTTGCACAATCGTTTGCATTTTTGCAAAACACACGTAAACTTACACAAAGTGTTACTATTCTGATGTGTCTTTATTTCCCTCTGTTAGGGGAACAGGTTAAAAGCAGGAGACTGGAGGGAAGGACTGTAAATCACCCAAGTGACCTTGCAGCTGGGAATAACCCTTGATAAACCAGTGTGAACAGCAGCCAGTGATCCTGTGGTCTGGACTGAGTTGAACGGTGCCTCCGTCTCTGCTCATGTGCCTCTGCCTGGGCGCTTCTTCAGGGATTCCCCAGTTAGTGAGGTAACAGAAATAAATTTACTGTTTGTGTTCTAGCCAGAGTTTGTGTCCGTCCCGGCTGCCTGCCTGTGCCGACTTACACATAGATCCAGGAGCAACCATGCCATGGCTAGCCAAAAAATCAAAAAAGCTAAGAAAGCCGAAAAAGCTGAAAAAGTCGGGGCCTGGGGAGGCTGTGATGGTGAACCCCCACATTCCAGGATGGCCCAGTACTGAGCGCTGGACCCCCGTGGCCACTTTCCTGGCTACAATGGCCACTCCAGAGACGTGGCCTGAAATAGATGACGGGGTGGTGGTGAACCCCCACAGGGTCGAGGTTGCCATGCGCGGATTGCCATGGAAAGCGGCATCAAAGTCTTCCCGCAAGCTGGCAGGGAGACTGGGATGGCTGTTGGCTACTGGTCTCAGAGCTCTAGACCGTGAAGTCATAGCCCTGCAGAGTAAAGTTAGCGAGCTGGAGTTACTCACCTATGCCAGAGCTCGCGACTGTGAAGCCATAGCACTGCAGAGCAAAGTGAGGGAGCTGGAATTGGTTACCTACGCTAGAGCTCTCGAACGGGAAGTTACAGCCTTGCTGAGTAAAGTGAGAGAGCTGGAAAAGGAAGTTGTGACTTTACAGGCTGCAAATGTGATCGCTCATGAAGTCACTACCACTCAAGCAGAGCAGTGCTATGAGCAGCAATGCACTATACAGCAGCTGGTGTCACCTAGGCATAAATATGTGGAAAATAAGGTTTTGATCTCCCAGGTTCGTGCTCCAACTTTGAAATCTTCACGGGATACCAAGGAATGGGATGGAAATATCTGGAGTGAGTACTCAGACTTTGAGATTGAGATTTAGCCAGAGTTAGTAGATAGGGATGTGGTATAGATCACAGATACTTATATTCCAAAAGAGTTTCAATTATACACTCCCAGACAAGGAAATCCTTTTGAATTAGAAGTAATAATTCTAGATGATTTAGTCTTATGGGGATTGAGGCAGATGACTGGACCAAAAGATAAAAAAAATCTGTAGAATTTTGGTCCAAGGCATTCCAAGGCACTGCTATACATTTTACCCCAATGGGAAAATTAATTCAAAATGTAGCTTGGGCACTGCAAGAAACTGAAAGAATCACAGGCCAACATAGTGTGACTGTACACCTTCAGTACAAAACACAGTGAGGACCAAAAATTCTCCAGATGATGTCTCTCCCAAAATATTAGCCAAAGGGAAATGGAATTTTACACCAATGGATCCTACAAACTATTAATCTAGATGTGACCATTCATATAATAACCCCTGACAATACAGTATGGTTCTGTAGTCTGTCTTCTCCCCTTTATTCTCCATCCTCTGTTAATATCATATTCTCAAGTTCTTGTATTTCATGTGTCTTTGATGATTTCCTGTGCATTATCTAGGGGGGGTGCATTGGAACTATATTATTGGTGGCACAAACCCAACATTCAAACAAAATTCAATCTAAAAAAGGGCAAGCCACACCTCTCCAATCTGTGTGGGCAATTACCCCATCTCAAGTTACCAAGCCTGGAGCAATATTAGCTGAAGGAGCTGGAGCAACAGCAACAGCGTATGTGTTACAGGACAGAGATGACACTCCTTTTTCCCTCCCTTACCACAGGCTGGCTTGTTGTGCTTTGTAGGCTTGTACTATGACAGCATATCTTATATACATTTCTGCAAAATCAATATGTAAATATTTGTGTGTGGTTGTTTTTTACTGTAACTAATGTCTTATTATTCTTTCTGAGAAGTGACTATAGACCAGCTGGCGTGTGCCCTCGTGCAAGGTTTAACTGGGACATCCAAGATAGCTGTTGCCTTAAATTTGGGAGTAACTGCTGTACACCTTACAACATCAATAACTGATGAGCTACATCACCCTTCAACATCAAAAATGCTGTTCTGAGTTTGAAGGCATGTGTTGTTTGACCTGCAGAACCAGCTGGCATGGAGGATATCATTCAAGGATATCAAGGACTACATCTAATCACACAACCTGTCGGTGGTACCTGGCTAACTGGGTGGTTTACTTCCCTGGCAAGAGGGGTGGGACACTTAAAGCATTATATGCTTATATGTTTGTTCCTTTTCCCATATGCTTCAAGTGCCTCTGTAAATCTCCTATCCCACATTTCCAGCCCCAGCAGCAGTGGTCTCTTGAGCAAGGGGGTGGCAAGCTGGGAGGAAGGGGTTAAAAGCGGAAGACTGGCGAGGAGGACTGTAAGTGGCTCAAGTGACCTTGCAGCTGGGAATAACTCTTGATAAGCCTGTGTGAAGAGCAAGCCAGGGATCCTCTGGCATGGACTGGGTTTAACGGTGCCTGCATCTCCACTAGTGCACTTCTGCCCGGGTGTGGCTTTGGGGATCCCCCAGTTAGTGAGGTAATGGAAATAAATTTACTCTTTGCCTTCTAGTCCTGAGTTTGTGGTCATCTTGGTTGCCTGCCCGTGCCAACTCACACACCTACCCATTGTGCAGAGGTGTCAGTGATGACACACTGTGCATGGGAGTAGAAAGTCAGGCCCCACATTCCGAAGATACATTAGCACAGGCTCCTGTGAAAGGATAAGCAAGGACACTAAAACCACTGAGGAAAAGAACAATAATGTTTTCAATTGATAATGCTATACATGTTCTTAGTAATGAGTCTCTCTCTCAACTCACTCTAAGTAAAGCAATTGGCATGTTCTTTAGATAGAGCAACAGTACAAATACAGCTGTGTATATCTGACACACAGGCGTTTGATTTTGGACTTGCTGAATGTTCAGATAGTTGATGAGATCACTTCAGTGTTGCTGCATATAAAAAGCAAGGTATCTGTAGCATGCCTAATTCTGATACTTATCACTCTCCTCAATAAACTGGCAACCTGCACCAGGGTCACTCCTGTGCACCTTTTCTTGCCCTAAGATACATTTGCAAAAAATTGCTATTCACCACAGGGAGCTGGAAGGAGAATGCCTGGGAATTGATGGGCATCAATTGTACCCACAGCTGTGAGTTCTTCAGTTTCTGGCTGCTGCAAACGTACTTTCAGGTCTTTTCACAGTTCTTTCAGTGCAAAAGAAATGGAGACTATTCCTTGGTGTTATTTCAGCAGTTTCACTGCCTTCAATTTCTCTCTCCATGTTCAGACAGCTACTGAACCTGTCACCCATATAAAGACAGAGTAGAACACAAAAGATAGCGCAATCCTACCATCAGACACTCTCTTAAATATAGACAAAGTTGCTGTGTCAAGATTTAATATAGCTAGTGTATATGATGTTTTGGTAGATAGGTATCGTATTTTCCCACCTTTCATATGTCAGGATTTCACAGCTACCACTGTGCTATTGCATTGCCCAAGTCATATGTCCTTGTCCTTTTAGTGTCAATGAAAGTGAGTTTGACTTTCATTGCAAAGTATCAGTATGTTCAATGATAAGACTTAAAAGAAACTGCCAAAGAGACAGTAATAGAAAGTGTTCCACATTTGTCCACTACTACTGCTTGTCTTTTCAGTAACTTTCACTTTCATTCTTTATCCCTCTTTCAAAGTTCATTATAATTATACTATAGTGGTCACATCCAAAAAGTCAGCATTTACACATAGGGACTAAATAGTGGTACGTAAGAAACCACGGTATTATGTTCACACAGAGTAGGAAATAACTGTGGTGACCTTGATACCATTGAGTGGTAAATATGGTTCTATGTTGCCTTAATGTTCTTCACTGTACTGGCACCATAACTGTTTTAAGAAAAAAAAATTATAGAATTATAGAATACTTGATAAACTCCTTCCCCTCAGAACTCAGTGCTTACTTTTTCAGTGACAGAATAACAAGGAATATATTAATCATACCAGATATCTACCTGATTAAAGATATATGCAAACATATAAAACCACATATTTAGTTCCATAAGATTAAAATAAAGGCTCTGGAATATACAAGAGAACAGTAACTGTCAACTTCCACTTCTGTAATTTTTCCTCTTTACATATATGGCATCCTTATACGCCCATCCTTTTCCAGTTACTAATCAAAATCAAAGATGTTCTGTTCTTTCCTTGAATTCTCTACAAATTATGAAAAATGGCTGTTTGCTTTTCTTTTGTTCACAGAAAGCTTTGAATCACCTTTTGGTCTCAGTCAGATCATACTTGGTATTCCATAAATCTCCCAGGAAAGTGCAAAGTATTTAAGATGGATGCTTAAGACATTTCAGAAAGTCTTTTTGGATTTGCTTCTGTCCCTCTCTGAATAGTTTTGTTAGATCATTAAAAGGGAAAAATATGCAGTTTTTGATAAATAGACTACTCCCCTACCTCAATGTTAGATAAGATGTGAGTAGACCAGTTTTTAATTACGTTAGCCTGTGATATATGTGGTAAGGCATTCCTAAAAATGTAATGAAGAGGTCATCTAAAACGAGACACAGCTAGAAATCAGGACAGAAATGAGCAGGAAGTACAGCTGACAGAAGTAAAACTGTATAAATCCCACTTACAGCCACTCTTATAAAGCACATTTGAAAAATAAGTAGCAGTAACTCTACTGCACATTTTGTTCATTTTCTAACTAGGGGGATCCTTAACATTAACACTGCAGTGTCTCTTGCTCCAGAAGGATCAGAAATGAGCTCAAAACCCCAGACATGGCCAAAAAATCCTGCCCTTAACTTCTGCCTCCTACACTTTAGTTTAGTATTTAAACAAGCCCCAAAGTAAGGCTGTGTCCTCTCGAGGTCTCTGGTCATGCTTGAGGACAGTGAAAGTTTTAGGTACAAAAAAATCCAGAAAGAACTGGGAAGTAGTCTAGAAATAATGAGTGTGTTTCATAGCAGGAGAAAAAGGAGTGTCATTCGGGGATGAATAATTCCATGGAAGGAGTGGGGGGAGAGGGAAGAGAAGCCTGCAGAGGCCATGCTGGCACTATGGGAAAGCTGTGGTCACCTCAGCTGGGGGCTGGTAAGATCCCACCATGGCTTCATTCCACCTAGCATGCATGCCATGCCCAGCTTTCCACCTTTCTGGGGTTCAGAAGGCAGGTAGGGAGGGTCTGGGACCTGCCTCTGGGAGCTCTGGGACCCTGCCAATGCCCACACCTACAAATGCCCAGCACTAGCTGTGCATCTCAGGTGGGCCTGTGCTGTGAGAGGCATTTTGGTTCTTCAGGGACTCAGGCTGTCAATGACTGAGCTCCCAGGAATGTCACACTCCGTGTGATTGCCGTGTACAAACAGAAAATACACAGAATAATAATAACAATAAAAATAAACAGAAAAATACACTGGTATATCAGCCTCTTCTTGGACCTCTGCCTGATGTCTCCTTCCCCCTCACTCACTCATATGCTAGCCTGTGAAACTGCAGCCAAGCTTCTGGGTTTTATTTAAACCCCAAAGGAACTGTCCTATAAACTTTGAGACCATCTAAACTCAGCTAGGCTGGGCAGTAAACTCTTTGGAAGTACAAGTAGGGAACCTTCATCTGAAATAAGGAAGAGCATTAAGTTGGTACCATCAACTAGATCAAGCCATGACTGAAAAGCTGCCCTAAGTCCAGGTTTGCTAGGGACAAGGGTGGAGGGATACTCCACAGATGGGAACTGAGTTAGCCAAAGTCTTCTTCAACTCCACTTGAGTATCACCTGCTGATGCAGGTACAAACCCATGAGCAGCAATGGCCCCGCCAGAGGTTCTCCAGGAACCCTCAGATGCAGCTATCACACAGACATGAAATGGGTCAGAATCCATGTCTCTATTTTTTGTTAGGAATTCTCTCTGCACCCCTCATAGAACTGGAAGAGCTACCAACCCAACTCCAAGCCAGCCTGCACAGCAGGGAACAAGCTCAGTTCCAGCAACCACACGTGCTTTCCCTGTATCAGGACATGCTGGTAATGCTCTTTGGTTCAGCCCAAAGAAGACAAGCTTTTGTTACCAGAAAGGTAGGCTGGAGGTGTAACCATCTCTATTTTTAAGCCCTAGACACTTGCTTTTATACAGACCAGTAGCAAGGACAAATGTCAGCTGGGAGTGACAGCAATGCTTTGGGGAAAAATAGGAGAGTCCTGTTTCTCTGAGCTGCCAAGTGACAGCAATTCAAGCCACAGGGTGCACATTCCTTTACCAATATTCACCTATTCTTTCACCAAGAAGATGGGCCATGTAATTTTGCCAGAATGATTCAGGACTTCAGGGTCACATACCTTATTCCTTAGCCTCTCAAAAAAAGTCAGTATTTCTGAGACTTGTGGAACTTATTCCAGACTTGTGGACTTGTACTCTAACTTGGGGGTTGATACTTAAGCACCAAGGCAGGCTCATAGAAACTTGTAGCATTCAGATGCTCAAATCAGTGCCAGACATCTTGGAAAGGCAACACTGGGCTGGGCTACATTTTCAGGTTTCCCCACACTGTATTAGAGCCCACTGTAATAGTTTAATGGTGCCCCTGTAAGCTGTGAGAGTGGCCTCAACAAATGCCAAGAAACAACTACAAATAACACTGAGATGCAACAGAAATACATTGTGGGTTCAATACACCAGAGACCAGTGAAACTCATTTACCTAGAGATACATGGACACACACACAGACTATAGTCTGAGGGCTAAACACAAAATTGAGATTTAGGTTTCTTTCCCTGGCGACTGAAAATACTTTTTCTATGTGATCACATTCTCAATACCAACAGACCACATTACTTGAATGTGTCATGAGAGAGGCAGGAAAGAGAATCTGTGGCCTTTCCTTTGCAACAGGACTTGGACATTTGCCTCGTACCAACTCACTGTGTACCTCTCCAGAGCTCATAAAGCACGAGACACAACAGGGAGGTGCTTTCTTATTTTTCTTAGTAGAGTGCCCTTTTGCAGCTGTTACTCATAATGGAGTACAGCCTGAGCCACAGTACAGTGGCAATGTTGGGGCTAATTCTATTATTTCACCAGTGTTAGTGGAATTGATCCTAGATTTACAGCAATGCACCTATAAATAAAACCTAGCTTTTCAAACATCATTAATTAATGTTATAACGTCAAAACATTACCAAAGATACTTAGCTATAGTGTTTCTACTTGTAAAATAAGCCTCTTAAAGTTGCTTTTTATGTCTTGAAGTAAAAGGAAATGAGTCTGCAATTAAGCCAGTGTGAAAATGAAAAGGAAAAAAAAAGAAAAAAAAATAGATTTGGGACCACAGTGATGATCCCCACAAGTAAACTCTGACCTTTCAACAGAGATGGCAATTTTAGGCATTATGTAAGAGTAAAAGCTGACTCTTTGCCAGGTTATTAGTATAGGCCTGCACCCGCAGCAGCTTTGATGTAAGTACTTTCCCAAATGTCTAGATGTACACAGCTTTAATACACACAACTCAAGCTTCTGTAAATCTCTTACAAACATGGAGCAGCATGTACAGTATT